AAATAATATATATAATCAATTAATTAATATTATTCTTTCATATATATCAACACAATCTGATAATGATTTATTTATTGATATGATTATATCAATATGTCAAGATGAAATTTTATTATCAAAAAAATTCTATGATATTTTATTTCAACGTATTTATTTAAATGATAATTTTATATATGAATCATGGATATATGGTATATATCATGGTTGGTTATTACCTGATCAAACAATTGATATAAAAATTGAAAATAAAAAATTTTCTGAATATGAACGTTTAATTGATGTACAATTTATATGTTTATTAATAATTCGTCAATATGAATTAAATTCCTATATATGGTTAAATAATAATGATTTAATTAAAAATTTAATACTTAATTATTATTTATTTCAATATCGTTGTATTAATACAAAACAAATATTTATTTTATTTGAACGTTTATTTCATTTATCAACATTTCATATTCAATTTAATTTTATTGATAAAAATTTATTAACAAATGAATTTTATATTGAATTAATTTATTATCATATTTATTGTCAAATTAAAGATAAATATTTAAATATAAATCAACGTGATGATTTAATACAATATACATTTATATTAAATAATAATGATGAATTAAATACACATTTAATATTAGCATCATTTTTTCGTGAATCACAATCAAAATTAATTATACCATATTTAATTGAACAATGTCAAGATGAAAGACGTTCAGAATTAACATTAGCTGCTTTAAATCAATCATTAATACGTATGAATAAATTAGGTATTATTTTAGATGAAATTTATTTAAATAATATATTAAATATATTAATAAAATCCAAAATATCATCAAAAGAAACTTTACAAATAATACAATTATGGAATACATTATTAAATCATGGTACATTTGTTTATAAATTAGAACATAATCATTGGGATAATGTTTTATGTTTAATAAGTGATTTATTTCAAAATTTAACTAATGTTCAACAACAAATTAATCAACAATTTACATTACGAACTGAATTTTTATTTATTCATGCTTCAAATTTATTAACAACTATTGGTAATCTTTTAACTAAAGATAATAAACAAGAAGAAACAGATTTATTTAATAAACAATTATTAGATGAATGGTTATTACTTTATAGTAAAGATATTTATCAAGGTTTATTACCACTTTATATTGCATTACCTAGTGAGTTCTATTATTTCAATTCTTTTGTTTAATTTTCTTCATATATTATTGTTTTCTTAGGTGCTCTTACTGAATTTTCATCATTTTATGTGACAAATGAAATGGTTAAATCTATATGTTGTGCAATGTGTACTATTCCAATTGATTATCTTCTTTCAAATAATCTTAAACCATTATTTCATTCTGAAGATAATCAATCAACATTATCTGAATCAATTCAAACAATATTTAATCATTTATATCATTTACTTTGTGTAACACCAAATCGTTCATTACAATATTCCGCATATCATTTATTAAATAAACTTCTTCCACATATATCATCAACACTTATTCGAACAACAAATAATGAAACAATAGCTGAAGATAATAAAACATGTCGTCTACCAGGTTCAATGCTTGAAGCATTAGAACGTAGTGAAAATACAATAAAACAATTATTAAATGAAAATGATATTGTTGAAGAACATCTATTAGATGATAATGGACATGAAATTATATCACAATCATTACCAACAACAGTTGTGACTGATAAAGAACATATTATTATTGGTGAATTATTAAATTATAAATTAATACTTAATTTAATTAATTGTTATTCATCTGTTGAACAACGTTATACATATAAATTAATGTTACAAGAAAAAAAATTAGTTGATCGATTTCTTTCAATTGTACTTGGATTAATTCCTGCTAATCCTGTTTATAATGATCCTTCATCTATGCAAATATCATCTATTACAAAAAAATTAACTCATTCGAAATCAATGTTTGAAAATGATATCCAACTTAGCCCAAACGGTAAGTTGAGACAAGATTCCTAACAAAAAAAACATACGTAAAATTCTTCTAAACTTACACGTTTGTACGGCAAATTTTACGTGTTTTACCAAGTTTAAAGACAAAAAAACGTACTAACACGAAAAAAAAATCAGCGAAGAAAACGTATTTTAGGGTATATTTTTGGATGGCTGGAGTTTTTCAAAAAGTCTTATTGCTGAAATTTCGGAACCTCATATTTTCTTAAACGCGTTTAAACCGATTTGTCTCTTGAGATTCATTAAAATGCAGGATTTTTATTCCAATAACTTCTGCTTATATGAATAAACTTGATGCAAAAATTCGTATTTTGTAGATCAGTCTAGTTTTTTTTATCAAAATGAGAAGTTATTTTTTAACAATCATTAAAAAAATAGGATATTCTTCAAGACTTTGGACTACTTTCTTTTTTTTTTTTTTTGTGAGATTTTGTTAATTTGTATTATCTATTTGTTTAATCCTTTCATGTTTCTAATATTTGTACGATCATAGAAATTTTCAAGGATATTTTTTTGTATATTATCAAGACATCTGTCACAAGTTGAATGCGAAAAGATATTTATTATGTCACGAAAACTCCTATATCACATCAAGGATCTATTGCTAGTTTATTTGAGCATCAAATTTTTGTTAAAATTATCGAAATTATTGCATTTTCATCTCGACATGAATAAACATTGGAAATTGTGAAGATTATATAATCAAAGAAAAAACAAGCTTGATAGTGATACAACGGAAAATGAACTACTTTTTTTAATGCCCTCACAAATGAATAAGTCATGCTGACTGAATAGACTTGATTGAAATATAACGGTCTATTGCCTTTTCTATTAAACGCTAAAACATGTTTATATTTATCTTTATGATCGACCAATCTCTGTGTTTCTCTCTGTATCTGTATCCTCCGATTTTGTTGATATTTCTACAGATAAGCGATACCCTGGTACCCATACTTTTTGATATGTTCTGTCAATCAGATGAATTAGTGTATATGGCATAGTCAATCTAGAGGGGAACTCTGCTATGTAGCTAATTTCGTATATTTTGTATTAGTTGATATTTTCAACCAATCATGTGATTTGCTAAATTTTTCTTCAATGAGTCATAAGATAGTTTTACTACATACTCAAGATAACATTTTCTCCCCAATCAGAAAAGCCAATAAAAATATAAAGTTTATGATGTTGATATTGACATAAAGAAATGCATTTATATGAGTTTTGTTTGTTCGATCTCAATAGATAGCGTTCTTTAAGGTATCATGAATCATTATTGCTTTAGAATAATTCACTATATTGAATACTGTAGTTCTGAATCATTTAGATTTTGTGATATCGTTATTCTCAGAAAATATTTCAAGTTCGTAAAAGTTTATTTCAACTACTTTCTTCGTCTTCGTATTATTTGGTAATTTTCTCATTCGTTTAGATGGACTGTCTATTTAATCATCTATACGTTGTATGATAGTGTTTAGTTTTCTTTTTCACTCATAGTACTAAATGATTCTTTCTTCGTACCCTTTTCATTTTCATTCATACATTGCTTGACATGTTGTTTGGCAACATATTGCTTTTTTTTCGTATGATCAGTCAAGAGTTAATATAAATGGTAGATCGACAACTTAGACAAGTGGCTCAGCATGAGACAGTCTTTAATTTTTTAGTGCTTTCATCGAAATCTGTTACTCTAACCTCGACAACACACATACATGTGAAGCAATTGAATATTAATTCAATGCCACATTATTTTGTTCTTTTTTTGTGTAGACACATTAATTAATATACATAAAACTGTCCATAAAAATTTATTCGACTACAATAAAGTACTTAAATCATCATTGTAATTCACATTCAGTTGAAACCAATGGAGTTCTATACGAAACGAATGAGAGAGATGGAAAGATTTTTGCTCAGAGATTAAATTCAAAATATGAATGTCAACATTCAATTACTACTTATTAGCGAGATCATCTACGAATCTATTCTATGAAATAAATCTTCATGTTTCACCTGTTTGTAAATTGAAGTTTTGTAGAAAGCGAACGTTTCAATCAGAGAGATGCACATCTCTTATAAAATAGTTTATTGTAATATTTTTTTTTAGGTGATCTAACTTCAACTTATACAATTCCACATTTGGCTTGTTCAGTTTATTTTCAATGTTTAAGTTTAATTCCAGTTCTTGTTCGTGAATGGTATCATAATCAAACAAAACGTATACGTGATGCTGTTGATCGTGTAACAACAAAATATGTTAGTCCTATATTAATTCAACAAGAACTTGATTTAGCATCAACATTAAAAGATATAAATGTTGGTGAAACAGGTTTATTTACAGTTAAAAAACATTCAAATACACGTGAAATAACAGCTATTTATAATATTGAAACATCACGTGTAGAAATATGTATACGTTTACCAATGAATTATCCATTAAGTACTGCAAGTATTGATTGTACACATCATGTTGGTTTTACAAAAGAACAATGGAATAAATGGATGTTTCAATTAAAAACAAATTTAATTCAAAATGTAAACAAAATTTAGAAAAACATAGAAATTTTTATTTTTATTTTTATATTTAGAATGGTAGTATTGCTGATGGTTTACTACATTGGAAACAAAATATTGATAAAACAATGCAAGGTATTGAAGAATGTTCAATATGTTATTGTATTTTACATACAAATAATGAATTACCTAAAAGAACTTGTCGAACATGTAAAAAGAAATTTCATGATGCTTGTTTGGTAAGTTTAAAAAGAAAATATTATTCTGATAAAAAAAATAAAATTTTTTCTTTTAGTTTCGTTGGTTTCGTTCATCAAATAAATCTACATGTCCACATTGTCGAGCGAACTTTTAAATTTTTCTTTTTGTTTCGTTATTTTTAAATTCTATTGTTTGTTTTTTTTTTGCTTTTTTGATATAAATATGTTATATCGAATATACTTTCTTGTTACGAACGAAACAAATATTCTTTAGTTATAGATTATTTATGCCAACAAATTTAGCTAAGGAATCCGCAGCTTGTGCTGCAGTTAATGAACAGATTCATAATGTAGGTAGAAAAAAAAAAGAATATTTTATTAAAATAAAGATTGTTTTTAGAATGTTCGTATTATTGGTATTGGATCAGGTTCAACAATTATTCCAGCTGTGAAAAGAATTGGTATGATATTAAAAACAAAAAATACTTTTTTTGATTGATGATTTATTTCTTTAAAATTTCTAGCGGAAATTGTGCAAAAAGACAACCTTGATTTAATTTGTGTTCCGACTTCATTACAAGTTTGTGCTCAGCTTGAAGAATTGAATAGATAATTCAAAAAATTGATTCTCTTTGATTAGTCATCTATTATTGAAATTGATGAGAGAACGATAATCTTAAAACTATTGAGTAGTTCTAAGAAAAAATAAAAGCGTAAGGTATGGAGCATGGATAAATTATATATATATTTTTTTTTCGGCGCTTTTCCTTTAAATAAGAAAGGATTCGCTGTTTTTTTGAGCATTGATTTGGTTATTAGTTATTGATCACATTCTCTGCACTCTATTTAATACAATGATAAATATGTAATGAAATATGTTTGTTATCTTCTAGGCTCGTGAACTAATTCTTTCTAATGGTTTGAAATTGAGTAGTCTTGTTGAACATCAAGAAGTTAGTTTATATGATTTTTGTTTTTTTTTCATTTAATGATTTTCGTTTTGTTCTATGTTCAAGCTTGATCTGGCTATTGATGGTGCTGATGAAATAGATGAGCAATTTAATTGTATTAAAGGTGGTGGTGGATGTCATACACAAGAAAAACTTGTTGCTTTTTGTTCAAAAAAATTTATTGTTGTTGCTGATGAAAAGTACATAAAATAAAATAAAATGTATTAATTAATTGAGATAAATTTTTCGTTTGTCTAAAATAGAAAATGGTCAAAACGTTTAGGTAATACATGGACAAAAGGCATTCCAATTGAAGTTATTCCGATAGCGTATAAAATAACAAAAAAAGAAATTGAAAAACAACTTGGTGGTGAAGTTATTGTTCGTGAGGGAACAGAAAAATTAGTAAGTTTAAAATAAAACAAATTTGATTTTTTGAAAAAAGAAAACACGAAAAAATTTGTTTTAGGGTCCAGTATTAACTGATCAAGGAAATTTCATTCTTGACTGGAAATTTGATGCTTCGAAAATTTCAAATTGGTCAGATATTAATCAAACATTAAAAATGATTCCTGGTAAAATAGATTTTATTTTTAAAATTATTAGTTCTATTTCTTTATTATATTTTATAGGTGTTGTTGAAACTGGTTTATTCGTAAACATGATTTATAAAGTATATCTTGGTAACAGTGAAGGCAAAGTTGAAGTTAAAACAAATCCTGCAATATCTTCATAAATATTATCCTTGCATCTTTTTTTTCTTTCTTTTTCTTTTTGTTTTGAAATACTATTCTAACTTGCATTTTTTTCAGATAAAATTTTATCTAGAATGACTGAATATCAACTTCAAAATCCACCAACAGATGGAATTACATCTGTACATTTTTCTCCAAATAATCAAAGTCAGTTCTTAATCGCTTCGTCATGGGATTGTTCTGTTCGGTAAATATTCAAATTCAACTAAAGAAATCATTCCGAAGTTAGAATGCAAATAAAATTGCAAAATCTATGTGATTCTTTCCTCAACCATACCCATTCAACTATGACGTAATGGAGAGAATGACCATATGAAAAAGTAGCCTGATTAGTCGTCAAAGTAATAGATAAAAAACAGCTGATTGTCATCAACAACCGGACTCAATCTACACACAACAGTCATTGACTATATCAATCGGTCCAAATACAGCACAATCAGGTGCTATAGGACTAATTCCATCAAAAATCACTTTCAGAAACTTTTTGTAAAAGTTTGACGGGTTTGATTTTGTGAGTTATCAATCCTTCTCTCTTAAAATGAAGAGTATCTCTTAACGATTAAATGAGTCTGGTTAATATTTACAGAATCACGATAGACACTAATCTAACTCACAAGAATCGAATATTTTTGCATCTTGGCTTAAAATGAAAATCTACGGAGTAATTTCTGGAACCTGAACTTTAATTTCAAACTGAGCAGCATTCGCTAATCAATAGTTATAACATTGTTCTTATCCACTATACTTGGAAAATAATACGATTCAATGATTCGGAAGATATGAGTAAAAGTTACAAAAATTTTTCTCAGTCATGGTACATAGTACGAAAAAAGTATACTCTATACACTTCTATTCTCACTTTCTAAAAGTGATTCTACCCATATAGTTAAAGTTGTTTTGTAGTTGCAATGTTCTCATTATAAATATACTATTCTTGCTTGTAAAATAAGGTTAAGTTTGATTCACTTGAGCACAACAAACTAGTCAATGGATTCTCTACATTCCGGTAAAATTCTTTTTTCTTCTTACATCTATTCTAAGAACAATTTTGTGTCTGTTTACATACAAAAACAAAATAACAATGTCAGTAAATGAAGATCTAAATACCAATCTCATCTTTTACTAAATCTGATGCCTAGAAAAAAAATTCTTTGACTGCTTGCTTTAAAATCATTTAATGAAAAGCTAACTATTTCTTTCTTATATTTAGTTTATATGATGTTAATCAACATACATTCCGTCATATGTACAAACATGCAGGTCCTGCATTAGATTGTTGTTTTCCGGTATGATTTTACTTTTCTGAAAATAATTCGTCTATATTCAAAAAATTTTTTAGGATCCTTCACGTGCATTAAGTGGCGGTTTAGATCGTATTTTAAAAATGTACGACTTTAATACACAAAAAGGTATAGATTTATTTTAATTGATTAATAAAATAAAGATTTAAACTTTAAGAAACTTTAATGGGATATCATGATAATGCAATACGATGCGTACATTATTCACCTGAAATAAATATGATAATCACTGGTTCATGGGATGCATCCATTAAATTTTGGGATTCACGCGTACCTAATTGTCTTGGTTCTTGCTCATTACCTGATAAAGTAAATTCATTAAAGTTTAGTTTTAGTTCTTTTATCGAATATTTTTTTTTCCATAGATTTATACATTAGATAGTGTTGGTGAATTACTTGTTGTTGGAACAGCACAACGTAAAGTATCGGTTTGGGATTTACGTAAAATAAATAGTCAAACTCCAATTGAAAATCGTGAATCAAATTTAAAATATCAAACACGTTGTATACGTTGTTTTCCAAATAAACAAGGATATGTTCTTAGTTCAATTGAAGGTTTTTATTTCATATAATCTTATTTATTAAACTTTTTTTATTTTTCATTCAGGTCGAGTTGCTGTAGAATTTTTTGATCCAAATCCAGAAATTCAAAAGAAAAAATATGCATTTAAATGTCATCGTTCAAAAGATAATGGAATTGAAAATATTTTTCCTGTTAATGCTATTGCTTTTCATAAACAATATGGAACATTTGCAACTGGTGGTTCTGATGCATTTGTAAATATGTGGGATGGTGCAAATAAAAAACGTTTATGTCAATTTCATCAGTAAAATATTTCTTTTATTTAATTTTTAAATCATTTTAGCTTTTTTTTCCCTTCTTATTTTAGATATCCAGCTGGTATAACAAGTTTGGCTTTTTCATCCGAAGGAAATATGCTTGCTATAGCATCATCATATAATTACGAATATGGTGCTGATCTACAATTAGCACCAAATGATGTGACAAAAAATAATATATTTGTTAGACGTGTATCTGATTTAGAAACTAAACCTAAATGATAAAAAAGAATCAATAGATAAATGTGTTTTCTTTTGTTCTATGTCTTGTTGTTGATATTAATAGAAAAAAGAAAAAAAAAATATGAATATATTATTCTTTAGATGGTTGATGAAACACTTTTTGATTATCTTCATATGGCTATTGTTGACTAT